CTGCTGTGGAATTGTTTGTTTTGTTTTCTTTGTCGAGTGAAGCTTTGCGAGAGTGACGATTAACAAAGTGCGGGGCTATACGTATACATATATATATGTGGTCTTGGAAAAAAGGAAGCAAGTGTCAGTGCACCGTTGACTCCTCCCCGTAGCTGGAGCAGCATCCCACGCTCACTGTGAGACCGAGAGAGAAAAAAAGAATAGGTTTCACCGCGCACGCGATAACCACGTCCGATCTCGAGATTGAACAACAGAAGCGGATGGTGTGATATAATAAAGGACTACGCGAGAGGAGGAATACAAGAAGCGAGGAAACAAGCGGAAGCGCGAGCAAGAGCGGAGGGATGGAAAGAGCGGCGTGATAAAATTAATTGAAAAAAAAAAAAATACCACGGCGCGCCGGAGTTTCGCACTTGCAGCTACACAACACACGAGTGCTATACATACAGCAGCACCGAGACGGCCGCAGCATGATTATCTTCATATCCGGATTTTTAGTGGGGTACGTCGAGCGTGAGCCCTTCTTTTCTTTTTTTTTTTTTTTTCGGTCACGGACTCTTGCGCACCTGCTCAGTTTTTTTCTTTCATTCTTTCTTTTTATTTTGTATACGCGTGTATGAGTCTCTACTTGCCTGTTTTTTCGACGCATGTGTGCGGGTGTTGCATGTACGTGGCGTGCGTGGGCGTGTACTCGTAGGTACACGCGGGTAATTGTAAAATGTACGTAGATGCACGCGAGAGAAAGATCGGCAAGGGTGATTCCGGCGCCGATCCGAGACGACCTGCTATACGTGCGCGTGTAAGGTGAACTCGCGCGAGGTCGCGCTTCCATACATTTCTCCCACTTCCCCCCTTTTTTCCACATCCTATATGCGTGGTACGGTGTGTCTGTGTGTAGCGTCTTTTAACGAGTGTAAACATGTATATGCATTTTTTTTTAATTCCTTCTTTTGTTGCTTTGGTTTAATTATGGTGCTTTGTTGCTTCGCGTCTTACGAAAATCCTCTGTGTGCAATCTCTGAATATTGTACATTAGAGCACAATAATTCTAGTAACTAATGAATAAAAAAAAAAAGGGGGGGAAGTTTCAAGGATGGGATGTAGGAACTTGCTTATTAAATCCAATGTCTTACAAGCCCATCATAAAACCCAATAACTATGGCAAAACCCACGACAAAATCGTATAAATGATTGGATAAACGTTCAATTATTTTTGTTATTTTGAAAGTCAGTCATCTTTGGTACGAAATAATAATTTGAAGTTGATGGTTTTACGATGTACGATCTTTGCGCATACCCGAATGACAAATTATTCAAATCCCCTGCTATACTCTGCATGCTACTACCACGTCTCCGTTCATGTACTGTATCTGTATTACTCCTAAGCCGCAACAACGTAAAGCTCCAGACCGCGAGAGCTGAAATGTAATGCGATGTTGTGTAATTAATGCCTGAAACAACCCCCCGAGAAATGATGCTCTGCACTACTGCGATCGGTAAATATTTATGCGTCATTCGCAAACTCTACCCAAGCGCTTCTCTGCTTGATACGATGCATTGCATGTAGGCATACCCATATCAATATTGTTGCCCAATGCGATAATTTGCGTCTAATGAAATCAATTAGCATCGGCCATTGGAGCGCACTTGACAAACATGTGGTATATGTATATAATATAATTTATGATGCATGTGCGTTTGGTACATTAGCGCGTGTTTTATATGTACATGTGCATCTTTTGTGGTGTTGCATCATGTTCTTCTTATTATACTTGTACGAAAATTTCGAAATGCACAACTTGAAGTTCATTAGATTGTTGGCACTCGAAATTACCATACGGTTTCCTGTATAATCAAATTTCAAGTGTATGCAAGCACGCAGTCAGTCGGTAGTTTACGGGAAAAGAAAAAGAAGGAAAATTGTCACCTTCATCCATCCAAACTGCAATGTACAACGCACTTACCCAAGGCTTCCTTTCTCCATTCACTGGAAAAAAAAAAAAAAAAAAAAAAAAAACTTAAAATTCACTCTCGGCTCGCTTGCCATACATCATTATTAGGCACCTGTACAGGTACGGTCGATGAAGAAAATTTATATGAAAAGTGTCTTCTCTGTAAAATGAAAAAATAAAAACACGAAAAGGACACGCGCCCACGCGTGCCGGCTATCGAATGTCCAAACGCGTGTGTCCGATGGTTATTCGGACGTATGTGTATGCAATATACACCCATACATCGAGATCCACGGGCAAGTGGTCGCAGCGTAGAAAAAACCGTGTGTAGGGGCTGAAAGAGCACATTATGTGGCCGAATGATTCACTGTCCACAGCTGGTTGCACGGACATCGGGACAAGTCCAAGGGAAGAAATAAAACGCGCGAGGGTATTTACCTACATGTATACGCGTATAAGCTCGTCTTCCCGGAATATTATATCAATGCGCTCCTATAAGTGCATCACCTGGCGGGCGTGTTTGTTGGCCCTTCGGCGAGGAGCAGCTGCCGCCACGCGACCCTCCGTATACTTACACGCGCGTTGTAAACCATCACATACCTACCTACCTTTTTTCGCCTTCCCTTTCCACCATCTTCCTTCCTTCCTTCGCCCCGTGTGCTTATATGTATATAGGTGTACACATTGGCTTCATTATCTCGTGCAAGAAAATAAATATATGTATACGCTTTTCTTTTGGATAGGATGACGCGCACCCCTGTACTTTCGATGACTCGGTTATTAGGAGATGGAGAGAGATTTTTATCAGTCGCGTCTTTTGTGTTTTTGGACTTGGTTTTACGCATAGGTACACATGATAGTTACAATGTCTTGCAGAGCACGTGCGAGGAAATGATGGTTTCTACGTGTTTATTGTGACAGGGCGCACACGATAATACATAATACATACATCACACAAAGGGCGCAGGTCAATTTTCTTTTGGGATGTGTGTTTATTTTCTTGTGACAAGCCTTTTGTTGTACTTTACGTTATTCTTATGCTTAGGATTATCATTGGCATGGCATCTTTCTTTTGTGGTGTTTTACAATTTTTGAATATATAGGGAGCATACAGAATTCGGAGGATTCGGAATATCTGTAGTATCTACAAATTCTGTACAAGACGGACTTTTTTTTCCTTTTTAATTATATCTGTTCACGATATTGGAGGATGTTGTTTTTTTTTCTTGCAGATGAGTACAATACAAATATTAAAATATTTTTTCAAACACTTGGACTTTTCTTTCAAGTTGTGAGTCATTAATTTAAAATTCATGAAGTATATAAGGAAAAACGCATTAGCCCCACGATTTGTTTAATGGCATTGTTTTACACCGATTCGTTCATACACGCAGTCATTAGAGAGAGAGAGAGAGAGAGACAACCCACCAAAAATCGAGTGTCATCAACTTACGATGTGTATAAACGTATACAAATATATACAACAAGACCTCTCTTCTCATTGGCATTCCCGTCGTACGTTCTCGGGGGTCGAAAACTTTGGTACAAAACCTTCCTTCCTTTCCTCACTCTATGTAACATACTGCATACAACGCAGTCGACTCGACTGGCCCATTGCTTTTTCGTGCCCACCGACTTCCTCCCCCGCACGCATACACAGCCACATGGTCTTTGTCGGGCTTACTTTTTAAAATACGATTCGCTCGCATCGCGCATATTCATCGTCGTCGAATTCAAAGCTCTTTCGTGGTGCTTTCATTTGCATTCATAGGTATACCGCACAGAGGGAACTTTTTGAATATATTTCGGGGCTTCGAAAGCTCGCGACTATGCATAGATGCGGGTACAGGCATACATATGGGTATCATTCTTCGACGTTGTAAATTGCTCGCTGCACACTATATCTGTATATATATTGGTGGTGCACGCAGTCATGCGTATATTATTTTTTACATGCTGTACCGTCGGCCGAAAATTGCGTTTGGCAATCGAACGGGTGCTCCCCTTTGTATGTATCCCCATAACGTATTTTTCAATTATAATTTCGTGCGTACGTTGAAACGTCGAAATACGAGACAAAGAGTTGTAAAAGTGACATTCTGACGTGCCATTTGATTTGACAGAGCTTTTGCCATTTCATCGAGTACCACCTAGTTGTACCTGCACACGATGGAATTCTTATTACTATAGCCACGACGGATAAGAATGGAAAAAAACAACAATTTTTCCTCGAATTTTTCCCTCCTCGCGACGGGAAATTTTCGTTAACTCGAGCGCAAAAAGGAGTAGTAAAAAAACTACGAAACGATGCCATTTCGGAAAAAAAAAAAAAAATTATGATTATCTGTGCCCGGTAAAACATCCACTTTCGTTGCTCCTATAATAAACTGTATACGTGCTGCGGTCCCGTACAACTGGTGCATCGCATTGTGTTGTGTTACTGCGCACACCCGGTAAATCAGCGCGTTGAGCATAAAGGGAAAAGAGGCGTTGTCGGCTTTACGACAGTTTTATGGAGATTTACCCTCCGACTGTCTGCCTGTGCTGCAGAAAATATACTCTATCTGTTGTCGGCTCGGGTTATCCATTTTTTTTGTCCTGCTTTTTTATATTTTCACGATAGTACGTGGCCAAGGGATATTTTTTTTTATCTCATTAACTGCGCAACGTGGGGGTGATTCATAATTGAAAGGACATTGCGATGCGGCACAATGTTTGGATGTGGGTGTCTAAAACTAGTCATCAAGTTAGGTATATATACATATCTGTACTGCATAACGTAGCGAGTGTATATGTATACATAAAAAAAAATATATATATATAAATAAGGTGTAGATATATGTATAGGTACATCACATAACATCCCTGATCCCAATGTCAATAACGAATGACAGGTTAAAAATACAATTATACAATAAGTAAAGAAAATATATTCTTATCGTATGATGTGACGTTTTAAATAGACTAAAAAAAAAGGCCTCGAGCCTGTGTGTCCATGACGAGTGAATAAACAAAAAAAAACAAAAAATGTTTTTTGTCAACTTGCAGCTTCCCCCAAAAGATGGAGAGGCTAGGGCCCACGTCGAAGGGTTACGCGGGCGTGGGCGGAGGGGGCTCCGGTAGCATATACGCGAGCAGCCAGCCTCACCATCACAACAGCCACCACCAGCACCAGCACCAGCAGCAGCCGGCCCTGTCGTCGTCGTACATGACCGGCCAGTACATGTACAGCCAGAACTACGCCCACGCGCCGTACGCGGGCCCCGGGGTCCAGCCGACCTACGTCCAACAGCAGTACACCAGCCAGCCCCAGAGCTACGGGCCCGTCGTGCAGGGCTACGGCGGCCAACCGGGCCAGGCCTGCCACAAAAAGTCCACCGTCCGCAACGGGGACGTCATGAAGCGGTGCCGGCTGCAGGGAGCGTAAGCATATACACGCATTTGTCTCCCCCTTACCTCGTCTACCTTCTCGGTACTTACTTACTCCGCAGGGGGGGGGGGGGGGTCGGCGACTCTTTTAGTGCACTTGTCCGGTTTGCTCTTGCGCCTTGGGGTCACACGGAGGTGGTATATACCGCGTGTTTGTCCGTCCTTTTGTTGTCCCCCTTAATTGGGTACATTGTTTAGTTTTACAAACTAGTGAAATAAAAATTTTTTTTTCGGGGTACGCGTCATTATTTAAAATAACACATGCAGGGATGTATTTGTATAAATTCCGAGTCGGTCACAATCCGGTTTATAATGACTCGATGAAAAATGTATCGTTACTTCATTACGAATAAAATAATATAAAAAAAATAATGATAGTGTCGGACAAGCGTGACTCGTTCAGTGGTCAACTGTTGTGACATCTTAAATTCATTGTGACCACCAAAGACGATTGAAAAAGAAAAAAAAAAAAATCCTCCTATCAACAGGTACGAGCTGTCGCAGGACATGCTGGACAAGCAGATAGAGATGCTGGAGCGCAAGTACGGCGGGGTAAAGGCACGCAATGCCGCGTTGACGATCCAGCGGGCGTTTCGTCGGTACACCCTGTTGAAAAAATTCGCGGCGATAACGGCGATGGCCAAGGTAGAGAAGCGCCTGAGCCGCAAACTCCAGGAGGCCGCCGAGCGCCAGGAGCACCTGCAGGACGCCCGACTCGCCTACCAACACCACAATCAGGTGTACGTCCAGTCCCACCAGCAGCAGCACTACCAGCGCCAGCAGCAGCAACAGTCGCCGGTTGGCAGGCCGATGCCCACGAGGAGCATGTCCCTCAAGGAGAGGCGTCACGTCGTCGTCGACGGATCGGCACGGGGCTGTGCGTCACCGGTGCCTCGTGGACAACCCGGGCGATGCGAGATACAGATAGCTCCTGCACCGCACCAAACGGTGAGTTGGTTTTTTTTTTTTTTTTTCCCCTCACTTGCATTGATTCACACTGCCTTCCTATGTCACTCGATGAGTTTTTTTTTTTTTTTATGTGTATCAATTAAGTGTGCGTCGACCCGATTCTGAATTTTCAGGTCTACTGTTTCAGCCACGCGATAATTATGAAATTGATACGTCACAGTTGTTATCCAACGGGTACGCTTTCGATAGCTTTTTCATCGCGATGACAAAATACGACATTTCCTATTTTAGTGACAATGAGAAAAGTGTTCCGCAAATTACACGTGTCTCGGGGTTTTCCGAGAATTCATTTCAAAGTCACAAACACTTTTGTGGCTGTCCTATGGATCCTTTTAATAGCCGGATATGTATGTCTATTTTAACTACGCGTTGATCGACAACTGACGATCGAACAATGACGTTTACCCACGGGGTCGGATGAACGAGTTTTCGATGCGAAGGATCATTTAGGGGCATTATATGGGTATAGCGCATTTACGTGGTGGTGGCCACCCGTCAGGGAAAACTAGAAAGTCAGGGAATTTCGGTGGTATCCCATCATCTAAATACGCTAATTACCGCGACAATTGAATCTAAATGAACAGCGGACGATCTTTCGGTGATTCATTGTTCTAGAACATCGTGTTTATACAATTGAGTTGTTAAAAAATAGTAAGTTAATTTATCGTTAAAATAGCGTAAAAGTACAACCATTAGTTCGTCGTTGGTCATTATCGCGCAACAAACCCTTTCATCGATTCAATCCTGTCGGGAACTTTTTTCAACACATTTTTTTTTTTTTTTTGGCAGCGACGCGTAACCTACTCTCGAGTCAACCAACAAACTTCACCCCCAAATGATCTGTAACAACAATTAAAAACCCCAAAAATTGCAATGATCGTAGAACCAATTAGCGAACCACCAATTGGTGAACCACGGCGTTGCCACCAGTGGCCGGCACACGCCGTCGCTTACACCGAGTCCTTGTGGCAGACAACAACAACAGCAACAACCACCGGCAAGCCCGTGCTGGGAGTCCAGTTCACAGGAGAGCGGTTCCAGCATCAACTATTACAATCCCCAGGTGAGCCTCTCTTATCTTTGCTTTCTCTCGATTCTCGATGATTTACTGCATCATGACCCTTCACGCACACGCACACTCCTTCCTCTCCAACCATAACGAGATCGAAACAAACAATATGTTTTGCAGTGAACTCCTTTACTTTTGCTTCTTCACATGCACACAGTACCTTTTATCTCTCCCGTTGGGCGCACCACAACTTTATTCATCAATGCGTCACTCTCGACAACCGAGCAATAACACTTGAATGTCCATAAACATACATGTACAAATATACCTACGACCGCTGTGTACCTGCAATATTATATTATATTATATTCCCATTGTCATCATTGCAGGAGAGCCTTTGTACTGTACGCCAGGACTCCCCTGCAGCACGTGATACGCAGCTACGCTCAACCTCGTGCACATCGCCCTCGACGCCTTTACAACAGGGACAGATAATCCAGCAGCAAACGCTCCAACAGCAACAGCAGAACAATTGGTCGAGCAGTACGTCCCAGTTGAGCGGCTCGAGCGTCCGCTCGGTTGGCCGGACCTCGAGTTTTGGCTCCTGCGGCAAGGCCCTGCCACCCGAAGTACCCAAGCGCACCTCGTCCATTACCTCCCGGTCTATGGAAGGTAGGCACAACGGGCTCAGCAAAAGCGTCGAGAATGGCAGTCTTAGCTCGGTACAGAGCTCGGGTAGCGACTCGACCAATTGCGAGAGCTCAGAGGGCGACATCACCCAACGCGGCTCGCCCGTCTGGAAGCACAAGGCTATTGTGAGTCCCTATATTAAAAAAAATTTTTTTTACAAATAGTTAAGCAATCTAAATCAACTAAAACATATGTGCTTTACAGTCGAGTTCCCCGGAGCATCAGGAAATGATCGTGCACGCGAACGACAGCGGTGCTCTGCTCAGCAACGCCAAAGACCTGGGTGGTCTCGTAGCCACGAGCGGTAGCTACCAGCTGCCGTTGCTCCACCACCACCATCATCTTCACCACAACGAGCACGGCGAGCACAACGAGCACAACGACGACTCCTCGATATCCCAGGTGTCGGGCAGTAGTTACACGCTCAAGGCCTCGGAGACGGTGCGCAAGCGACAGTACCGGGTCGGTCTCAACTTGTTCAACAAAAAACCCGAGCGCGGCATCAACTACCTCATGCGCCGTAACTTTGTTGACAACTCGCCCCAGGGTGTGGCTCGTTTTCTCATCAGTCGCAAGGGTCTCTCCCGACAGATGATCGGCGAGTACCTCGGCAACCTCCAGAACTCCTTCAACATGGCTGTGCTCGATTGCTTCGCCCACGAGCTCGATCTGGCCGGCATGCAGGTAAGTCGATCGAATCTTTATTTTTTTTTTTTTTTTTCATTCGTATACCAACGTAGCGCATATAGAGTATGAAAAAAAAAATCAATGAAATATCAATTCCAACATAATCAGGTCGACGTCGCACTGCGAAAGTTCCAAGCGTACTTCCGTATGCCGGGCGAGGCCCAAAAGATCGAGCGTCTGATGGAGGTGTTCAGTCAGCGTTACTGCCAGTGCAATCCGGACGTCGTGATGAGGCTACGCTCGCCCGACACGATATTCGTCCTCGCGTTCGCCATAATAATGCTCAACACGGATCTGCACACGCCGAATCTCAAACCCGAGAGGCGCATGCGGATCGAGGATTTTGTGAAGAACTTGCGCGGCATCGACGACTGCGGTGACATCGACAAGGACATACTCGTCGGAATCTACGACCGCGTCAAGGCCAACGAGTTCAAGCCCGGCTCGGATCACGTGACGCAGGTCATGAAGGTCCAGGCTACGATTGTCGGGAAAAAGCCCAACATGGCCCTGCCCCATCGCAGGCTCGTCTGCTACTGCAGGCTCTACGAGATCCCCGACGTTAACAAGAAGGAGAAACCCGGCGTCCACCAGCGCGAGGTCTTTCTCTTCAACGACCTGCTCGTCGTCACCAAGATACTCAGCAAGAAGAAGAGCAGCGTCACCTACACCTTCAGGCAGAGCTTCCCGCTTTGCGGCATGCTCGTCACGTTGTTCGAAGCTCCTCGTAAGGCATCCTTTTTTTTTTTGTTTTCATTTGTTTGTCATTCGGATCGAGGTGAAACAAACTAAATGCCACGAATTGCAATATTCCTACAGACTACCCGTATGGCATAAAGCTGTCGCAGCGCGTCGACAACAAAGCACTAGTCACGTTCAACGCGCGCAACGAACACGACCGGTGCAAGTTCGTGGAGGACTTGCGCGAGTCGATCAGCGAGATGGACGAGATGGAGACCCTGCGTATCGAGACCGAGCTCGAGCGCCAGAAGAATAGCCGCGGGACGCGAGGCTCCTCGGAAAACCGGGACTCCGGGGTCGCTGACGTCGAGGTCTGTCCGTGTCCGGGACCCTGCTCCGAGAGATCGGAGGTCGCGGACAACGACTCCCAACAGCTCAAACGGTCCACACTCAGCAATTCTCTGCTCGACATCCACGAGCAATGTGAGTATTTCAAATGTGCCAACAGAATAAATATAAGAATCGTATATAAAAGGGAGTTACATTGTACTCCGAAATTGATAAGCCAAAATTAACTTTCGCGAGATGTATAATGAAATCAAAGTGACGTTCAAGTGAAATTATTTTATGTAACTTGGAGGCCTCGAACGATGGTTATCTTTTCATTTACATCCCGTAAAACATGTATAAAACATAAAGAAACATACTAAATTTTGGTGAATTGCAGTTGCCGGGGAGAAGCCACAGCGTCGAGGCAGCGTCGGCTCACTGGATAGCGGTATGTCAATTTCCTTCCAGTCGACTTCCGCCAGCTCGATGAGCCAAGGCGCGAAGGCGAGCGGAGTACCTGCACAAGCCCAGCCCGGTGTGAGCGCACACCCAGGTGCTGGCGCCGTCAAGGGAACAGCCATCGCTCAGCAGCCCTCTTTTTTAGGGAGCCTCTTCCACAAGCGCGAGCGCAAGCTGTCCCACAGCGAGGAGGTCCAACAGCAGCAGCAACACCACAATCATCATCATCATCATCCTCCTCCTCCTCATCACCATCAGACACCGCCACTGCAACCACAGCAGGGCTTGACTGTGACTACGATGCAGGGCTCGCCCAGTCCCGCGGCTCCCTACGGCCGCACCACTGAAGTCTAGACGTATACAGCACTGAAAGGGCATCGTTTAGCTAAATATACTTGCGTTTCATTCGTGCTCTCATCACTGGTCATGTCTGCATAAATATCTTTTTTTTACTGTCCATCCTTTGTGCGGCGTTTCCGTGGCTATGGCTGGTCGACGAGAGCAGCGAGCGATTGTTTGTCCGAGACGGGCAAAATATTTATTGTACGTGGAAAGACTTGTTGTCGCGCGCTCAAGAGCAATCATTTCTAGTCATGTGTAGTTTATTGTCTCGCGATGAGCAATGTCAACAGTTTTTCCCCCGTCACCGGAGTGTAATTACACGTACCAATACTATATTGTATCATGTATATTACACTGATTTTTTGCACGTTAATTTTTATTTCCTTTGTTTTTGCAACAAGTTTGTATTGCTTGTCGTTAAACTGTTAATTTTTTTGTTACGATTAATATGAAAATGCATGCTCTTGTAAAGAAGAAGATGCGGCAAAAAGAGACAAAGAATGCGGGAGAAAGCGCGTCCGTCTGGCGGGATCCGATTGAATGCTTTTCCTCTCGCGCAAATATTGTACATTTTCCGCGCATGGATCTTTTTTTCGATTACCATGTTTTTTCTATACTTGTATAACTCACCACGCGATGTACCCGCACTCTCCTCTTGACGTATAAGAAAATAATTCATTAAACGTTTGTGTATAGTATGTATTTATTGCATTCGCCCAGCTATGGGAATTTTAATAGGATGTTTTTTTTTTTTTTTTTTTCGTACGTTATATTTATATACATTTGCAAAGATTAATGCAATTCATGAATGTTGACGCAATTATCGCATAGTAGCGCGTGAAAGATCGTTTTAGGGCGANTGTATGGGTATAAGTACTTGTGTCATGTATGTGTAACATAAACACTAATAGGGAAGCCCGTATAGGGGCCGCATCACCAGGGCATCACTTGGGTTGGCGACAATCATATAATCGTGTCGCTATATAACTTTGCTTCAATTAGGTAGTTGATTTTTTTCTTGTCGTTGTTTCAGTGTATGAAGCAAATAACATCCAGGTTACCCAGAAATTAGTTAAACTAAAAAGTCCACACACGCATGTGCATGGATATCCTAATCATCCCAAATCTACGGAAGCCCGATCCGATCACACGACATAAACGTAAAAACGCAGAAGCGCACACAAAAACAAGTATAGACCTATACTTAGGTTAGGTGCACGAAAACACATGGACGAATGCACAAAAACAAAAACACATTCGAGTACAAGTGCACACAAGTTGAAAAGCAGACGGTTTATATTTCATTAACCTAAGTACAGCTTATATAATTGTTACATCGTTACGTGGGAAAGAGATATGTTCAATAAATATAAACTTTATACATACCTATACTTACTTTGGATTGTATCTGTATACATAAAGCAAAGATGTTCTGTATCGTTCGTATCTCTAAGTGTATTAATTGGAGTACAATAATCGGGATAAACGTACGAGTCATTTGAGGACAAACGTAATAATGGAGCCTGGAATCATTGAATGACCTTGAAAAATAACTGTTCGAGTCACTGGATTTCAAATGCAGTATTATACATAGAACGTACCAAGAATGAAAGATTCCTCCCCTTTGCTGTTGTGTATCACGTTCTTATATTTACGATGTGTATGATTTTTCGGTAGCATTTTCGGGAAAGGCTATGAATGTAGTAATCGTGGATGTTTCTATTTGTTTATTCGTCTGAAAGGGCCTAAATCGATGAGTCAAGACTTGTCGCTACTGTAATTAAATAAATCAAAGTGAGATTTGTATACATAATTATATGAATTAACACTAGGCGACGCGTAATCTTCTGGCGATTGGCGATTTATAGATTAAATCGGTTAGCAATTTATTAATAAAAAAACTACTGTCTGCAAACACACACACCTTTCGCCACAAGACGGAAAAAGTCGTAAATAACATATATTGACAAAGAAATGTAATTTGAGATCGATTTCTGTTTGGAACTGTAACGAGCTCTAATTGTATTGTACATACAACTAATTATTGTAATACGAAGTATTTCAAAATAATAAATTCACAATATATAAAACGTTGCTTTTCTTTATTTAAATATTTTTCACCCCATGTCCTTAGCGAATAGATCCCGAAAATCACACTAGAATTCTATCGATACCCTCGATACCCTACTGACATTTTTTTTGCTTCGAGCGTGATCGGGCTTCGTCGGTGGCCCTCGCTCTTGATGTATGTATTTCAATCAACGCCATCTAGCGTGCGATTTTTCTCGTCGCTCATAGACCCTACTGACGTTTTTTTGTTTTGGGCGACGAAGAAAAGCACGACTCAGAGTTTGCTCTTTAAAATGACATAGAGAAATCTGAGTTGAGCTTTTCTTCGTCCGCTGATAAATATTGGATATATTCGACAGGCCGGACACCCTATACGGACGTTTTTTTGCTTCGGGCGTGATCGGATTCATCGGATTACCTAATTATGTCGGTGGCCTTGGCTCGTGTAGGTCAAAGAGCCACACCAAATCCACAGAAATAAATAATTTATCTGTTTTATACGTTATGATTTTTCTGATCTTGATAATGAAGCCCTGATTGAATTGCACATACAACTGATGACAGTGTTAAAAAGTGTTGGAAAACAAGTAATAAAGTTTCAATGAATCAAATGTTTCTTTTCTTTATTTAAATCTCTTTTACCCTAGTTTTGACATGATTAAATTGTTGTAGTAAGAGATATATATATATATATATATGTAGTCTTTTAACAACGAAATAACAATCTTACAATGATTACAAATATTATTATAAAACAATATGACATATGCATTGTACTAAAAAAATATTCAAAGATAATTGTAAAATCATATAAAAGAAAATAAATCCATGTATTTTAATGCAAATACTTATGAAAACTATTTTCAATGCAGACCTCTACAATGAGGAGTCAGTTTTTTGTCATTTCTTTAGAGCAACTGCCTTGAAAATTTCAAAAAATATCGGAATCTGTGCAGCCAATTGTTGAAATTCCGGCTTTTCAACAACTTCTTTCACATTATTTACAACGAACTCAACGGCTTTACTCTTCAACTTGTCATTGTTATAACTATCAGCTAGATGTATGTGTCCGATGACGTTGTCGGCACTCATGTTTTTGATAAGTTTCTCAACGCACAATATTTTCAACTTTTCAATTTGATATTTCTCAGCCACGTACAAAAGATCGGCAGCAATTTTATTAAAATGTCTCACCCTCCCGGTGTACATGAACCGCAACATTTCCTGTAAAATCTCATACTTGATATCCTTGACGATCATCGAACTAGTTACCTTCTCCATCATGTCATTGTTGAACATACTTGCCAATACCGGACTCTTCACTGCTAAAATGCATTTGTGTGCATAAAGCGTTTTACCGTCAACATGTATCTCAAAATCACTAAACTCCTTGTTATCTATAAGCGTCTCAAAAGCATTGACAGCATCCACTCTCTGGGCCAGAGTCTCTGAATCACTGTCTTCATCGTCGCTTGAGTGGAACTTGGCTGGTCGATAATCCCAATCGTGGAACAAAAAAGGGATCTCCAAATACTGGGGTATAAAGACCTGTCTGTATCTACAGTAGTCCTTTACCATGAATCTATCTGCGTGTAATTGAACTCCTGCAGTTGAGGTGTACGTATTCTTAAAGACAAACAGATTGTGAAAACCCACCAGCTCGCTGTGACTATCGTCAAACTTGACAAAAGCAATCTCAACGTAACCTTCGATTCTGGTCAAATTTTTGAGGATACACTTCACGTAATACTCGTCATTGGGTGATTCTTCGACTAGTGTCAATTGCAATTGCCACAAACGAGCAGAGTCGCATGTACCCATTTTAAACGTGGGCGAAAGTATTGGACCATCTTTAATTAACTTGACGAAATTGTCTACTTTCCAATGGTACGACGACTGTTTTTTTTCTATTTCACCTGCACACGTACGTGCAGTCATGTTGCTTGCTCCACTGTTAGACATGAGTGTGTATAATACTGGTTGCTTATGAGGTGTCTCGAACAAGACTACCATACGCTCATGGAAAGTAGTCTCTTATTTATATTTACTGATGATCCCAATAAAATTTGTTGCATCACAATAGTTTTCCCTTATGTACACCAAGTCATGAGTACTTGTATATTATTGTAATTGTGCCCACTACTTCGTCATGCACTAGTCAGTACTGTCAATCAGTACTTGGATTCAAGGCCTTTTTGACGCGATTCTTTTGGAATTTCTATTAAGAAAACATATTATGAACACATGAAAAGGATTCGTTTGGTTTTGGTTTCAATGCACAGCACTTTTATTTGTTTGTTACTTTACACAAGTAGACAAGAAAAAGAACTCTCTCCAGAACGTGCAGCAGCCATTTCGAGCTGGCAAACGTTTCGCTTATGTATGGGTATAAGTACTTGTGTCATGTATGTGTAACATAAACACTAATAGGGAAGCCCGTATAGGGGCCGCATCACCAGGGCATCACTTGGGTTGGCGACAATCATATAATCGTGTCGCTATATAACTTTGCTTCAATTAGGTAGTTGATTTTTTTCTTGTCGTTGTTTCAGTGTATGAAGCAAATAACATCCAGGTTACCCAGAAATTAGTTAAACTAAAAAGTCCACACACACATGTGCATGGATATCCTAATCATCCCAAATCTACGGAAGCCCGATCCGATCACACGACATAAACGTAAAAACGCAGAAGCGCACACAAAAACAAGTATAGACCTATACTTAGGTTAGGTGCACGAAAACACGTGGACGAATGCACAAAAACAAAAACACATTCGAGTACAAGTGCACACAAGTTGAAAAGCAGACGGTTTATATTTCATTAACCTAAGTACAGCTTATATAATTGTTACATCGTTACGTGGGAAAGAGATATGTTCAATAAATATAAACTTTATACATACCTATACTTACTTTGGATTGTATCATTCTGGTAGAGAGAGCACGGTGTAAGGTATACGTGAAGTTATGTGTAGTAATTATAGTAATCACTACTATAAGTCCAAGTAGTGCCATGGTCGATTTTATTAAATCATATAAGTAGAATATTTAAACTTTTGGAGGTACATTTTTGGAAAAAAGATAAATTGTAAACTTGCCGCAAACAGTACGAACAAGGTCATCTTTTTGTTTTATATCTACAAAATTAGTTGAGGCTGGTTTATAATTAATAAGTGATCTAGACATATTTTAAGAAAAAATGTGAAATTTGTTAATCCAAGTAAAAATAAAAGTTTTTGCGCCTAAGAAAATATATTTATATTGTTACCTACCAGGTTGTATACAAGTTATTGTTGATTCTGTTAATTTCAAGTAATATTTTTATACTTTGGTATAAAATATTTTGCCTTTACTCAAAAAAACCCAACTTGTAGCGATTAATTTAAAACTTATGTGTGTTTTATAACCACACTTGTTTTCTTGGATGACAAATGGATTGATTGTACGTTTGTATATTAAAGCATATATATTTTTGTTATCAGTACAACAGTCACTGTACCAAATTGTACGAAAAATTAAATGGCACAGCATGAAATTTTTATCAGATGTGAAACAAAAACCAAAATCATAAGTAAAGTGGTGTAAAATTTATTTTAAAAAAATATATACATACATAAATATTAGACTGTTACAGGATACGTATTCACGACAAACTTTATCGATTGTAAAACTTAATTGGTTTTAAAATTTTGCAAAGACTACTTGTGTTACTAAAGATGTACATCATTTTGGAGCAAAAAAAAAATTGCACCAAATCTTACATGTAACGACATACTTTTCAAAGAGTCTTACAATACAATTCAATTATATAACATAGAAAATCACATATTCTGTTTTACAAAAAAAAATGTATACATATATTAAGTACATCGATCTGTACCGATTTAGTTCTCTTATATTTACATACTATACAAGTCAGGCACAACGGGTAAAACATAAAATGTCCATTTTTGGCAACGTGGTCAACATTGGGAGACCACTGCCTTGAAAATATCAAATAAAATCGGATGCTGGGTCGACATTAAATCAACAAAATCCGGCTTATTGATGATATTCTTCGCATTAGTCGCGATAAACCGAAGAGCCCTGTGCCTCAACCTGTCGACGTTGTGTCTATCCGCGAGGATCATGTACTCGACAACATTGTCGGCGCTCACTTTTTTCACGAGTTTGTCCACACACATCTTTTTCAGCTGCTCGATCTGGTACTTGTCCGCCGCGTACAAAAGGTCAACGGCCACGTCACCCAAACCCTTGACCTCCCCGGTGTACATGAACCGCAGCATTTCCCGCAGAGTTTCGTACTCAATGTCATCGACGTGGATGGTGCTCGTCTTCTGCTCCACCATCAAAGAGCGGAACATGCTGGCGAACACCGGACTCTTCACCGCCAGGACGCACCGGTGGGCGTACAACATTTTACCACCAGCCACGACAACCACGTCGCTGAACTGCTCGTTGTTCAGGAGCATCTTGTAGTCGTCGAACGCCTTGGCTTTTTGCCGCAACAGAGCGTACTTCTTCGGGTGCTCGTCCAACTCCTCCCAGTCGCTTCCCGAATCGTCGTCCTCCTCGACATCCGTCGTCAGATAAACGTCGACCTTGTGGAACCAAAACTCCACCATGAACACCTGTGGCCCGGCCCTCGTGTCGAAGCAATCGCACTCCAGCATCGTGGACTCGCTCGACCATTCGGTCCGTGAGAATTGGAAGCTCCGCGTGCCCGTGTTGTTGAGGAACCGCACTTCCACGTCGCCCTCGATTTTTTCCTCGTTTTTCAAATTACAATGCAATATCTGGTCGTACCCCGTTTTTTCGGACGACTGTGCAAACGGGAACGATTGGGTGGTCAGTTGGAGCTGCCACTTGTAGCCCAGACAAGGGTCCTTGAACACCGGCGACACTACTCTCCCGTTTTGGCTGATGTCGCTCAGGAATAGAGTCCACCGGTAGTGGTTCAGTTTCTGACCGATCACGCCGGACGTGCAATCGGTGTCCAAGTTGAATGATGCCATTTTCTTTCTTGTATTGCAATCGCACTGCACAACCAGTCCTTGTTGGTCAACTGTTTGTTTTAGTATTCTTTGACTGATGCCTTTGCGATGATTTTCAACGTATGAATATTCGAGGTGATACTCGTAGAACAGATAACTATTCTTTGACACTAGCTTACTGTGGAGGAAATAAGCTATGACTGATGCCTTTGCGATGATTTTCAACGTATGAATATTCGAGGTGATACTCGTGGAACAGATAACTGTTCTTTGACACTAGCTTACTGTGGAGGAAATAAGCTACGACTGATGCCTTTGCGATGATTTTCAACGTATGAATATAACGAAGTGAAAATGGATATTTATCATCGTTCATTGAGTTGGTCGTTAATAGCCAAGTCGGTCTTGGGATTGGTCCTCTACCTGATAAGCGCTTAATGAGTTTGGCCCCGGGGCCCTTCTTTTAGACCTCCATGTGCGCTTTCGCTATGAGGTGGCGTATAAAATTCATACGAAAAATTATGTCAACTGTTAGTCCGAATTCGCTTCTCGACTTTCTATGCGTTAGTCGACAACTTTCTTTATGGCTATACTGATAAATGCACATACGACGCAAACAGCCCAATCGTTATACAAATATAACCCAAATATAGCCCAATATTTGTCACTATTTAATGCAGTTGCTGGCAGGTATAAAAGGCATCCATTAATATTTAAAATAGTAAAAAGGAGTTTTCAAGTTAATATTTATAATAAATATTGGTAATAAATTAACGACACGATTTCAATAAATTACATAAACATATTTTTCGGTGTTAAAATGTCTAAATAAAGAGGAGCAGTACAAGTCGTTACTCATCGCTACTTTCGATCCGAGATTACTTAGTATTTAATATTAGGCAGCAACGTAGTGACTTAAAATGAAATGACTTATGGCTTGTTACAGACCACTGACGTTGTTAACACGTAGGAGAAGAAATCGATTTTTAATTTTAATTGTGTTTAACTGTGGTTACATGTAAAACGTATTTCAAGAAAAGAAAATTTCTTAAAAATATTTATGACAAGCCGTTAGAGGGGTTTTTATTAATTGTTGACAGCATCAATTTTATAATTGTAATACATTTATTTCAAATAAGTACAACCCATTTTTTTTAACACACGCCCAATTTGGTTTGTGATGTTGTGGCTTGTTAAAAATTCAATGAAAATTATCGACTCGCTGATTTGATTTTCTCAGTCAGTTATAAATCTGCAAACAAAAATGTAATCATGAATTTTATAAATCGAACAATATTGGTAAATACTACGGATGATTTAATTACGGAAATATAAGAGCCGAGTGTCAAATGTATCAGGGGGCCGCATTTTATTACAATGGGATTGGCAGCACGCATCATAACTAATACAACACTTTTACGGGCAGAAGTGCTTAGATTTATCCACTCTGTATTATACATGGAACCTTGAAAATTCATACTCTGTAAGATAAAACAACAATCATCACTGAACATTTAACAGGATGGCACTTGCATTTCATAAGAAAAGTATTTAAATTTTATTTTACCATTGCAAACAATAAATTAACAATTTTTTTTTTTTTTTTTTTCGTTTGATCCATTAATTTTTACGACAATTATAAAATTTAAATATAAAATTTACGACAGAAAAGTAAAACAATTACTTATTCCTTGATTTTATTTGGAAGAACGAAAAATGCATCCCAACCAGTCAAGAAAGCACATTAACAGAGTAATTTAGAATTATTAATTAATATTTTATCTTTAAGAAGTAGTTTTTAAATTGCAATTCAATAACACGATGTAAAACATAAATATACTAGCCGCTATATAAACTTGATTGCTAAACCAAAAGTACGTCAAAGATTCCATAAGTAGGCCAAACAAAACTACAATGGATGTAAAAAATCTTAGATCTGCTTCTTTGGATAGTCCCAATTCGTATATACTTGTTGACACGATAACCGAACACATGAGGTATTCCAGTAACAATAGAGTGTTGAAGGTATCGTTGACACATTTGGCCAATCTAAAAGAACCACGAAGAATATTTTTATAGCTTGCAATAGGCAATGTAATTTTAATACTAAGGTCAAGAGGTGTCGAAGTACTGCTTTCTTTCGTGAAATATTAAAGGTAATTTTAGATTGTATAAACTACACACAAATTACCTGTAAATATAAACGTGATGTTGTACATTTTCCCTGATGGCCTTTTTTTCAAAAGCATCGATGACGACATATTGCGGTTTCCCGATCTCACGTAATCCCCGAACGTTTCGCGAAAAGTGATCCCAACGGCAAGACAAAATGGCAACCTGCGCGGATACATTGCACAAAAAAGAAAGGGGCAGCCATGCAACGTTCATCGCGTACACGCCGTTGAGAGCCGTACTGATGAATTGCCAAGCGAAAATCATCGAGTACGTCTCGTAGGTGGTTACGGCAAACGGTAGCCATATTTTTATTGACTGGGCGAATTCGTTGTTCAACTTCAAAAGTGGCTGCAGGGAAAAATAAGTCGTACATAACAGGACTATGCAAGTGAAGGTAATCTGAGCCATCCTTTGTACATAAATATATAAAATACAGGAGATTCAATAAGCTGCTGTCACAATTATATATAATGATCAACATTTTTAAGTGCAACATCCAAGTGACCTGGTAAAATTATTCACTGCCTTCTGGATTGAAATTTCTTCGGCATTCCGAGGAGTACAAAGTTTTGTACAAAACATTTTCTCCAAATCACGTATGTCCTTTCGTATTTTCAATAAAATGAACCCTCTTGCGGAACAAGCTATGAACTCTGGTACCAAAAACAAGTTCTCTATGAACTCTTGGGTATTCTTCGATACCAACAAATTAAGGAACATTGTTAGAGTGAACGTGTTGTGTATCACACGTATGACTAGCGAGTAAAAATTGTATAGCCATTTTTGACGTGACGACGTCCAATGCACTGGCCTCCAAACACCAGAAATCGCCAAAAATAAAAAGGGTACCCGCAGTGCATCCATATTTTTATGACAAATACAAAAGGTTCTCTTTGTATAAGATAATTTTTTTTTTTTTTTTTTTTTTTTTTTTTTTTTNTTTTTTTTTTTTTTTTTTTTTTTTTTTTTTTTTTCGAGAAATCGGTTCTTACTAGGCAACACTTGTACGAGTACTGATGGTAATTTTTTTTGTGCTATGAAAACAATTTAATAATCTAGTCGTATGAGCATGACCCCAACAAGTTTTACTTCAATGACACATTAATTCACAAGTGTATAAGAAAATTTGTCTTGATATTACTTGGAAATAAGATAACTGCGAACGCGTTTAGGTATATAGGTACGTGTACGCATTTATTGATCCCGAATGCATTTCATGCGTCATTATGCTTGTACGGGAGTAATTTTTACGTAAATGGGTTTACTTCGAACAAGAAAAGTAACTACATTGCGGAAACGAAAATTATTTTATCCATGGGTTTTAACGGCAAAAAATATGTGACATACAATGAGTACGATACGTGTAGGTAATGTGCAGCTAGCTAATGTGAAAGCTTACAAGAAAAATAAATAACAGCTGTAGCTATTTCACGGTCAGAGTGATAGTTTTGTAAGAATAATTTGCCCTGATTCTCATACTTATAACTTACTGAATCATTATGTGGAACAGCCATCTTTGCTGATGCCCTCAACAATAGATATAACATCAGTATTGTCACCAAAATATCAACATTGCTTGTACCATATACATTTCAAACTCTCATTAGGTATAGGCTTTGTAATAAATATTAATTAATTTTTAAATAATTTACAGCTAACAAGCTCTCTAGGCGTCAACAATGCATTTTATATTTTATGGTAGGTGATAAAAATACGAGGGTACATATGGTTCGTTCAGGGTTTACTCTAGTAACCAACAGGTTTACGAGTCTGTAAGATAACGTTAAGTAAACACGTCTAGGTGCAAAAAATATCAATATTAAAGAATTCAAACTAAATCACGAATCTTTCATAGTAACTCATTGTTTTTATGATCTTATATTTTTTTTCTACTTAATTTTATTTATATCTATTGCTGGTGTGCTAAGTACTTATCCATTGTATTTATTCTCTTGACAAAGTACATTTGAGATCCATACCTGTACATCTACAATTTAATTTCTTTTTGTATATATACTTGCATAGAAGTAACTCGTTCATGTCAATCACGTTTATTGTTAATAAGACAAAAGACTTTGTTTCTTTTCATCATTAGTTGACAATGTTATTGAAATCAACTTTGACATTTGTGCTATTTTTTCATTGCTCTTTTGCAATTAAATGTGATACATAGGTTTTTTTTGTTTTTGTAGTGACAATATAGAACACAAAATTAAAAAGTTTCACACATTTATTACACGCTGTTCATCAATAAACCTTTAAGTGAGACGTTTTGTTTTTATTTAGTAATTTTAAAATTGATTTAAAAATCTATAAAACTGAGATTTGTTTTAAACAAACACAAAAAAAAAAAAAATACTGGATGGTTAGACAAATATTTGTTTATCAAATTTATTATATAACAAGCTTTCAAGTTTTAATTCACACTGGAAACATTTGTATATTTTGGTACAATTCTAATGGTTCCATTAAAAAAAAATGAAAATGTAGAGAAAAAAAAAGTTAGCGACTTACACAAAAAAAAATATATTAACACTAATCTTAAAATAATATATTTTAAATTAGCAGATTGTTAATACAAGACATGTATTTTATAAAAGATAAAAATTTTTTCAAACAATCGCATATGATACGAGGGAAAAGAAAAGTACTGATGTATGAAGGAATGTTTGCAAAATGTACTCTCAAGAAAATTCAAAGCTAAGACGTTTATTGTTTCATTATTTAAGTTTGGAAGCGATTGCTTTAAAGATTTCATAAAAAATCGGATTTATATTAGACAGTTCTTTAAACTCTGATTTCTCAATAACAGTTTGTGCATTATTAAGAAGAAACTTGACAGTTTTACTTTTCAATGTTTCACTGTTGTGACGTTCTGCAAGATGAAAATATCCTACAATATTATCAGCATTTATGTTTGTAACAAGATTTTCGATACAAATAGTTTTTAAATCTTTTATTTGATATTTGTCAGCAGCGTACAAAAGATCAGCTGCCATGTTGATGTCTTTTATCTCACCAGTATACATGAAGCGCAACATTTCATGAAATGCTTCATATGTAATATCATTAATTAAGACAGTATTCGTGTTTTTTTCAACCATATTTTTGGTAAACATATTTGCAAATACTAAACTTTTTACTGACAGTATGCATCTATGTGCATGCAAAGTCTTGCCATTGATGTTAATATTAATGTCACTCAAGCTGTTGTTATTCAAAAGCATCTCATAATCATCCAATGCTTTCATTTTTTGTTGCAATGAAACATTTTTTCTTGGCCTGGAATCGTCAGTCTCAGAGTCACTCTCTAAGTCGCTATCCGACATACACTGCTGATTTTCTGTTGGACGCACATGCACTTGAGGAAAAGAAAATTGAATTTCATAAGTATTATTACTAGGACAGGGTAGCACTCTGTACTCAGTTGACCACTGAGTCTGTTCAAAATGAAAATGTTGCTGAATAAAGTCAAACCCAACGTCTACCACTCCTTGCATGCTTTTTTCGCTTTTAAGCCAAATCAAAGGGCGCTTATTGATTTTATTACGTAGTTGAAACTGCCATTTATATCCCACACAAAGATCATTAAATGTCGGCGACAGAATGTAATAATCTTGATTTTTCATAAGATTTTGCAAGGGTAAGCGCCATATAAAGTTGCTGTTGTGACAATAAATAATTGTACCTTTTACGTTTTTACATTTTTTCTGTGGACGCGATGACATTTCGATACACTTCTTACTTACTTGCACTTAGTTGTAATAATAATTAATCACGTTCACCAAGGGCCAGAAAAGATGCGAGGAAGGTTTTCTGCAACAAAATATTTTTATCTAAAATTGTTTTAAATATGTTCTTCTTCGATTAGTGAGCTATCTTGTAATAATGTAAGCTGTTCTAAATGCATACTTACATGGCTCTGCCTCTTATTTCGTTTTTATGTTAAACTTTTCCAAAAAATAGCAATTAGCATCGAAGCTACAGATTTGTAGTAAACATTGCGGCGGCAAACCGGCGGGTGGTTAACCTACTTCGATGTCTGGCTATATAATAATAATAAAAAACCTATCAGCAGGCATATAGCTATCGTTTTGTATTGAACAGCGCCATCTAGCGTTGTGATTTTCGGAGTCTATCTATCTAGGGGAAATCATTTCGAAAAAAAAACCCTAGATTTTGTGCTATATATATTCGACCTAGGGTTTCCACCAGAAAGGATTGATGGTATTGTCGGTATCGATGCAGAAACACGGGCCCTGTCGTGCCGACATTCAACTCACTTACCCGTTGCAGGCTCTTTATCGATGCACTGTCGATAGTCGGCACGGTAGGGTAGGTCAGCGCCATCTCGCGTTGCGTTTTTTGAACTAGAACCATTGTATAGTGATTTCTTTCTGGCAGAAAACACTAGGTAGAAAAAGATATATGTATAGCAACGCCAAAATCTAGGGTTTTTTTTTCAAAATGATTTCCCCTAGATATATTGATTCCGAAAATCACAACGCTAGATGGCGCTGACAAGTTAAAATTTATGCGCAGTCAGCAGCACTAGTCCACTAGCCCATATAGAGCCCATATATATACATATAACAATAGTCAAAGTCAAATTGTCAATGTGGTTTGTTGTTATACGCACTGGCACTAAAACGGTAATGTAACGTTAGGCATTTAAATCTTAAATCTTAACCTCAAGTATAATTAATTATAATTCCGAAGACAACAAAGAAGTGGTGACGTTTGTTTTCTTACAGTTGTTGTAAAATAATTTATTTGCAATCATGGATGGTGATTTTCCTGATCCTGACGAAGAGTTTGATTTGTTGCACGAAGATGAGTACGAAGTTCTACGTGAACTAGAAAGTAAATCTTTTTAATCCCAAAATATCAAAAGTATTATATCAAATGGTTTAACAACTATTTTATAATCAACAGCCGCAGAGGTGCAAAAAACTGTAGCAACTAGTATTTCTCAGCACCAACAAGAGCAGCCAGAGAATGATCAGATTCATGTTAATAGTGATAAAGAAACTGAAAAAGTTGATTTGGTTCAAGAACAAGACAAAGATTGGTTTTCAATAAATGAAGAAGATATCATCAGTCAGTCTGTGGTTACGAGTAAACGATCGATTGATAAAATTACGCAAGATCTTAATATACCACGAGATGCATTTGAGTCATTAAATTTTACAGATATTGGTAAGTGAATAGTTTGTTTATTTGAATATATGTTTGCTTGGAATTTGTGTCAGAAGACAGTGATTATGTTGACATTTTGTATTTTTAGATCAGTTTACATCTCCTAAAAAGAAAAGACCTTGTTGGGATCAGCCAGAAGAAATTATAAAGACTATTCTAGAGAGGAGAAAAAATATTCACTATGAAGAACAAAGTACTGGAAAGAAAGCTATTCAAAATAAATTTTCTAACAATATTACAAAGAGAATTCCAATGTATAATTTTGTTGCTGTTACTCATATTGATGATGGAGAAAGATTCTACATTAAAGTTTCTAATAAGAATAATTTTGAACCTATAAATCACCGTCCAACTTCAAATTCTCTAATAAAATCTTTTGATCAGCTGAAGGAAGAAGCCGAAAATATTGTAAGTTTTTAACATTGTTGTTCACACATTGATTCAAAGTCGTATGATAACTGTATTACTTTGTAGTTGCAACAAAAAGCTGAAAAAGCTAATCTTGCAGCCATGGAAAACTCTGAAATAACAGAAAGCACCAGCTGTGAATTGTGGGTTGATAAATACCGACCTCATCGATACTTGGATTTGTTGTCAGATGAAAGTATAAACTACTCTTTTCTTTCCTGGTTGAAACTTTGGGACAAAATCGTTTTTGACAGAGATCCCACTGTACGTCCAAAAAGGCCTGAAGCTAATCCCAAATTCAAAAGCAAATTAAAAAAAAAACAAGAAGATGTTCCAGACCATGATAGTGACGGTTTTTCCACTCGAAGAATAGCATTGATTTCTGGCCCTCCTGGTTTAGGTAAAACAACTTTAGCTCACGTTGCAACTAGGCATGCTGGATACAATGTCGTTGAAATAAATGCAAGTGATGAGAGGGGACCTGAGGCTTTTAGGTAAATTTGAACACCAAAATACTCATTGATGTTGAAACGGTGTGTTAATTTGTGATCACCCTTTTAGAGAAGCACTGTTATCATCAACACAAATGAGAGCTGTAATAGACAAAGAGAAAAGACCCAACTGCCTTGTATTGGACGAAGTTGATGGTGCTCCTGCAGCTTCTATAGAGCTCCTTATGAAATTTATTCATGGAAAATTAGCTCCAAAAGGTAGAAGTATGAAGGAGAAAGTTGACAAAAAAAGTAAAGGTTGTCGGCGGCCAATCGTCTGCATATGCAATGATCTCTATGCTCCATCTTTGAGGTAATTACGCTTATTCTATCAATTATCAACACAAATTCTCGCTCTAAAGCAGTCGTGTTTTGTAAAAAAAATGTTTATTGGAAAGATAACTAGCAATATGTAAAATTAAAATTTCCTCTTAGAGCCCTGAATCAAAAAAAGAATTTTCTTACATCTTGATTATTTTTACAACTACATAATTTGATAAAAAAAATTTTTTTTTTTTAATTTGCTCAACAGGCCACTGAGATCAATAGCTAGAAGAAAGTTGTCGATTAACGCATAGAAAGTCGAGAAGCGAATTCGGACTAACAGTTGACGTAATTTTTCGCATGAAGTTTGTACGCCACCTCATAGCGAAAGCGCACATGGAGGTCTAAAAGAAAGGCCCTGGAGCCCCAAGACCGATTTGACCATTACGTACACTGAACGCAAATAATATCCAGGTTACCCAAAAATTAGTTAAACTAAAAAGTCCACACACGCATGTGCATGGATATCCTAATCATCCCAAATCTACGGAAGCNTGTAAAATTAAAATTTCCTCTTAGAGCCCTGAATCAAAAAAAGAATTTTCTTACATCTTGATTATTTTTACAACTACATAATTTGATAAAAAAAATTTTTTTTTTTTAATTTGCTCAACAGGCCACTGAGATCAATAGCTCTTGTGATAAGTGTACCAGAAATCACCCCTACGGCTCTAGCCGAGCGCTTAGCTAAAATTATGAGCGAAGAGGGCTTGAGGGTAGACATGAGAATTCTGATCCACTTGGCCGAGAGATCAGCTTGCGACGTAAGAGCTTGCCTTGGTTTACTGCAGTACACCGGTGGTGGCGCCAAGATGTTGCAAAACATCGCTTTTGGCCTGAAGGACATGAAAAAAGGTCTGTTTGATTCTTGGAAAGAGATGCTGCATGTGCCCATGGGCAAGCTTACGACCTCTAAGGAGAGAGTACAAAAGATCATGAAGCTCACACATCAAGGTAATTGACCCAAAGATCCAGTTGTTACGTTTAAAATCGAGCATTCCATTATTATAAACGATATTCCAGTCGAAACAGAGCGCCTGGCGCAAGGTGTCTTCCACAATTACCCGACAACTTGCAAAGAGCAAATCATTCCTGTCTACAAGTCACTGCAGTGGTTCGAGTTTTATGACGAAGTGAACACCCTGGTCATGCAGCACCAGACCTGGATGCTCATGCCCTACGCGAACTCTGCAGTCGTCGCTTGGCACCTGTACCTCGCTGCCAGTCAAGTTCCCAAAATCACTTATCCAACAATCCAGTTCGAGGTAAGCCACACATACAAGCATCCACAAGTGGTGAAAAAAAAAAAAAAAAAAAAAAAAAAAATGAAAAAGCGTAAACTCGCAACGGAGCAGAACAACAAACAATGATAATTCACATTGTAACTAATGGAGGTAGTTGCGTCCGGTAGCCGCTATTGCTCGGCGCGCTAGTTATTTATCGCCCTTGTTGCAGGGGAGGCAATAACGTTAATGGGCTTTTGCCGCTCGAGCCTGAAAAGCTCCAGCTCGTACATACCCCTTTCGCGATGGGTAAAGAGTGGCGGGGAGAGGGGCAGGTGGTTGCTCCTCAGCTGCAGCCTTTTTGATTTATCCCCGGCTAATTAGAAGCGCTAATAATTAATGCGGGCGCGCGCGCGCGCGCATTGGGCTAATTATCAGGGGAGAAGCTTTTAAGAAATGAGAGAATATATTCCGAAATAAAACAAAGCCAGCTACGTGGGTCTGTTTGCTGGGGAGCTTGCGCGAGAATTTTTTTTTTTTTTTTTCATTCCTCCGCGGACGCGCGCTCGGGCTAAGGTCAGCCTCGAAGTGTACACGCAATAGACGGACCTCCCGTGCCTTTCCCTCGAGAGCGGCTATTCGTCAGGGCTGTTTTTGTCGCCCTAATGAGAGCTTGAATTATTCAGGGCTTCGGGCCGAGGACTCCACCTCCTAGCCGAGGGTCAACGATCCAGCCCCTTTTTTTTCCCGCACCCGACGACGCCGTGCGCTCCCCCCACCCCCATCCTTTCTTGTGTTGTTCTGCACCCTTTTGTATCCCCTTTCCTGCCTGTGTAAACTTATTTCTTTGCGTTATTCTTCTCCGCTCGGATCGCCTCTTTTATCATTACAAACTGTTTGCGGCGGACTGCTGGAAGAAAAATCTGATAGCCGCGGTGGATGTAATAACGAGCGGCTCTCGTGCAGCGTCGAAATTCGACGCGCGGATTGTTAGACTGCAAAAATGGTTTTTTTATATTTTAGGGAATTTTCGTCACCCGGATTTCAGTGATTTTGTTTCGTGTTTTACTTGAAATCAAGGAAATTTCCAAAACAATATAATTGTGGATTTATTGTAAGCTAATTGTTAAAAGTTGTTGTAACTTGAGATACTCCATTAGCAACCAAGACAAAACAACATACATTTTCCACTGTCCCAGTGTATTTACTCGTATTTCACAACGCCATTTTTTCGTTTTACCGACTCGTTTCAGGTCAATCAAAAAATAGAGCGGAACAAGGCAATCCTCATGGTAACGAAAAAGTCCAGCAAAATCGACGTCCTCACCCTCGTCTCCGACGTCCTGCCTTACCTGCCTGACATCCTGACTCCCCGCTTGCGTCCAGTTAACCTCCTCCTGTACAGCCCAAAGGAAAAACTAGAGCTCGAGAAGCTGATCAACGTGATGCTGGACTTTGGACTGGCGTTCACTCAGATCAAGAAGCCCATGGGCGGCTACGAGTACGTCCTCGACCCGTGAGTACATCCCGAACTTTATCATCCCCGTAGCTTCCGAAAAATCGATCAAATGTCCTCGTGGAACTTGCAGCAATCTGTGGGACCTGGGCACATTTCCCGAGTGCAAGGTGCGCAAAACCATACCCTACACGGTCAAGCAGATCATCATTCAGGAGCTGGAGACCACAAGAATACAGAGAGCAGCCATAGCGACGGGCGACCCAACGGCCAGTGGCGCAGGTGGAGGCAAAGCGACGGGACAGGCCAAGGCGTCGTCGAGCGCCGCGAAATCGTCCGCCGATCAGCCCAAGGGCCAAGAGGACGTTCCGAATCACTTGAAACAGCTTTCGGTGCAGCCGATCAGTGAAAAGGTGAGAGGAACTTTTTTCTTGCGTCATTGTCTTTGCAATCGATGGCAAGGACCTTTTTCTCTCATTTTGACCCAAATCAAATCTTTACAATCACCCACTTTTTTTCTTCCAAGCTGTATCGTTTATACAGAAATACATCCAAGTTACGAATTACTCGATAAAACATGAGGTCATGTAATGGTTCGATCATCACAACTATTACACTATATACCGACTGCAATCATTTCGACGTTTTCGCAACGCATAGCGTAGTACTTGCAATTATAAGCATCTAGAGAAAAAGACCAGGTGAATAGGAGTCGAGATCCATCAGGAAGGGAAATAGAAAAGCAGAGATCGTCTTTTATCCCGGCGACCTTTCCCCCATTCGGGTCGAAAGAAACTCATTCCCGTCGTCATTTTCGTCACTGAAATCTAAGCATGAAAAAGTCAAAACAGCGACACGTTCCCCTCTTTTTTTTTTTTTCTCTGAAAGGAAAAACAGGTTTTGTTGGGAGGAAAAAGCACTACCCGCGAAAGGGGTTTGATTCCGAGAATAAGCACGGCTAACCAAATGCCACTACGTATAGCAGGAGGAGGCCCTCCCGCTCATTACTTTCCGCGTACACAAGCTCATCTGCCAAGGGGAGGCCAAGAAAAGAAGTTGATGATGATGACGAAGAAGAAGAAAACGCCACTGAGAGTATATAGCCGACGAAGACGTGCGTGTATTCGCTCAAAAGAGGAAAACGAGGAGTAGGAGGTGGAGCTGAGTGCTCGTGTAAGTGCGCGCACACCCCCACACACCGAAGAGCTATACATCCGCGAGGCTATTACAACCGCTCAAGCGAATCTCTATTAAAACGTGTTTACACTGGCTTAGGGGTTGACTCAAGCCCCAGCCCTTCTCGGCTGTCTCTCTCGCCTTACTTTGCTCTCTCTCCCCCCCCCCTCTCTCTCTCTGGTGTATTATCCAGCAGGCAGTGTAACCCAGCTCGACGAGGCCGAGTAATGCCTATCTAATTGTCGCGTGTATGAATAGTGAATCCCGAAGCACTCGGGGCTATGAACCAGATCTCGAGCTAACACTGGGGAAAAGCCCACACGAGCTAATTTATATTATGATAGCCCGACCTCCCGGATTCGTGTAGCACATAGGGGAGGCCCTCGTCTCGCCGCCCCCTCCCCTTCTTCTCCCGCAAAGGAGATATATATCTCTCGGTCCTCGCTCCACTTTTTCCCTTCTTTTTTCCTTGTCTTTGATTCCCGTTTCTCTCTCTCCTCCCCCCCCCCACCCCCTTGTATTCGTCTTCTTTTAGCAAAGACAAGAAAAACGCTTAGTGATGAAGTTAATCTCTTAGAGGACGGGATGACAAAGGGATGCTCCTCGAGCTTGTCCTTCCGCCCGGCGCGGATAAAAGCCCGCTTTTCCTCGCACATGTACACACGTATGGGATATGGCATCGCCACGCGTCTATACGCTCTTTTCACTCGTATAATCGCGGGGGCGGCGCAATCACGGCTCCTTTGTGCCGTACGGGAGCGCGCGCATTGTCATGTTGATTCCCCGACGTCCGGTTGGCTCGTGCGACACGCGCACGCTATATACATCGTGTATACCCAGTCATCGAAATTTATGGCTACTTCTTCTTCTTCTTCTTCTCCAATGCCGAGGGAGATCTCTCTTACTGCTTGCTGGTGCTTTTGTGTGGGTACACACATATGCACGCTCTTCGATTAATGATGCTTTTATACGTATAGGATATCCCCGGCACCTTGGCCATTGTGCCTACACTTGGTCGGGGATGTTTGCAGGGTGGCTTCGAGGAAGTGATTTGGAAATCTTTGGTGGATGGAGTTTTGCGATTGCGTGTGCGCACGGGAGCGAAACTTTGCCGATGGATTAAGCGGTTACTTGTAATACTTGCTTGCTTTGTTCCCGGCATGGAAGCCAATCGATCCTGATTTTTATTCATTTGGCCTCGATATGCTCGGTATGAAAGCTTTTGTTGTGGCCTATTTGTATATACTTATATATGTATACTTGAGTGGTAAATGAACCAGTAGTTTCGCTCGTGCAAAGGGCTAGTGATGGGATTTTTTTTTTTTTTTTTTTTTTTTTTTTCATGATTCAACAAAAACATAGAAAACAGCTTATTGAGACAAATTATTAGTTGCTAGATTAGGTTTTTATCACTTCTCACGCAAAAAACTCAAAAGGAAAACTTCTACAATTCTATTATTTTCTGTGAACTGGTTTACTTAATTTTTTTTTTTTTCCAAGCAAGCATACATAAAATACTCCGTGAAACGATGATGTCTAAAAGTAAGTTTAAATGAAAAAGTCAACATAGTTTTTGAATCCGATTTTTAAACAACTGATCGGATTCCAGCGTAAATTGGTACCATGAATGAAAACTTCGTTTGCGAAAGAGGTGTGCAAGGCAAAGTTTGTCAAGACCCTAGCTCCGAGTCCGTGGAGCAAAGTTCGCATGGCTTGGAGCGTTTTCAATCGGACAGATTGAATTCCCCGAGACAATTAATCTCGAAAGTATGAAACTTTGGTTTACCTTGGAAATTAATATACGCTTCGGTTTTCGATGTTAATTACTTTCGAAACTTATTCATTGACATTGCCGCACAGTGCAATTGTTACTATAGCGGAGAAAGTAATACAATGATCAGGGCAGTCTTTTTTTCCCTGATTAGAGCTTTATTAATTTAGCTCGTAATATAGGGTATATGCTTAAAGTATTCACATGTTTTCGATTCCAAATTATACTTGGAATCATGATAAATAAAGTAATACGTAACTACGGGATTTTTTTTTCAGCCAATGTGAAAATATATTTATTTATTTATGTGATTTATATAATTTATTTTATTACCATATGTGATTATATATCTACGTATCCATCTCCATTACATACTTATTTATATTGCCTATTCTTAGCCACATTTAAACTGCATTTGTCAAAATTTAAACTACTACTACCATAAGCCTTTTTTTCTCAAAAAATGACCATAAGCCTTTTTTTCTCAAAAAATGACCATAAGCCTTTTTTTCTCAAAAAATGTCTAACTTGTGGTATTATATACTGTTTCATCATGAAATATACGAAGAAAAATCTTTTTATACCGTTCGTTACTTGTACCAATCGAAAGGCTTTCCTCGACAGAGTGTAATTATTTTTTATATGATGTTTCTTTCATGTGTACGAAATCGAATGATTCTGATACGCGTGAAGTAAACTAAAACCCACAGAATTGCTTTTTATTCTAAAGATAACCAATACAATTTTGCAATATTATAACACATAAATAGTTTTAAATAAATTTTCGACCATAAGTACGCCATCGACTACATTTTACGATTGTTCCATGAAATTTTTCCAAAAATTCTTTTATTACATTAATTTTCAGAAAAACCGCAACTTTTTCGCAACCTTCAAGTTAATCGGGCAAGAAAAGCATAAGAAGCAGCTTGAAGAAGAAAAGGCACTGGGCATCGTAAACACAAAAGAGCTCGAAAAAATTGAAAACGCAAAAGCCGAGAAAAAACAAAAGAAATTGTTCAGGAACAACGTGTGGTTTGAGTACAAAGAAGGATACAGCAATGCAGTAAGGCGTACTATTCTGATGAAGGATCTTTTGTAATTATTATTATTACAATTTTTTTTTTATTGTTCATCACGTATTGTAAATATTGTGAACGACTAAAGCTGTTCATACGAGTCCCTGCCTTTTGTATTTCTTATAAAATAATTTAATATTTTATTAACATTAATAAATGATTATATACATTTTTAACTTTATAATTTTATTACCAATCCCCCTATGTAATATTGAAATAACTATTCTTGAATATTAAAAAATAAAATTTGCTCAAAGATACATTACTAAACTTATTCGTTATGAAAATTTTTTGAAGAATTTTAGTTGTAAATGTAATAAGAAATTTAATTTTAATATCGATGCCAATGAATTAAAAAGCATATGGATAGCCATACATATTAAATATTGAGTCTTACTTTATGTTTGACATGAATCTAAAGTAAGACACAAAATTAAATGTTAACGAAAATAAAAAATTTGTCCATACCAATGCAAACCAATGTAAAATTTTTAGTTGTATACATTTTGAATTAAATATCGATCCACCATTCCAGTAAAAATCCAAAATGACGTCTATCGACACGCTACACACAATATGCCTAATCCCGTCATTTCAATGAATATAAAATTAATCCTTCCTCGGTGTACATACATACCCATCACGTATAATGTATTCTAAAATTTTGGCGTTCCGCTGTGCTGCCAGCAGCAAAAGATAAGTATCGAGCGCACGGCGCGTTCGTAAATCATGTGCGCACAACCATCCAATTACACAATATAGAAGCTCGGGGTGCGGGTGCACGCCGAACGAGGACAAATATCTAATAAATCACTTAATACATTTTGCAAAAGTGGTGGCAGACGCTAAAAGGCCAATCTATATAAGCGCGCGCCAGACCACGCCGTATCACCTTCCCCGCGCCAGCTCCCACCTCCCATATCCACCCCTACCACCGGTGAGGAGCTTGCACGCGCTTGCGCTGCAGCTTTCACACACAGTATACACACCAGCGCAGCACTTTGCCAAGCAACTCATCCGCGCTCGTCTCTTTTTCACTGAAACCCGATTCGACGTATAAACTCTCTGCGCCGCACACACACTCCGCGCGCGCGGTTTGCCGCCTTTCTCACTTACCCGCATTTAATCTCCCTGGGCCCATTACTGCGCGCTCGGCCGTCGCTTTACTCCCACCCCCTGCAGACTTTTTTTTTTTTTTTTTTTTTTACCGCTTTTTCTCTCTGTGCTTTTCACTCCACCCTTGCCCTCCCCCTCGTCTCCTTTTTATTTTTTGGCCCACGCCGTCACGCTAAAACGCCATTTTAGCAGAGAGAAAAAAAAGCTGACGCTCCGCTACGTGTACGCGATTATCGAGACGTTTCTCTTTCATTTGTTTGTTTTGCTTGCCGAGGAATTGAGGACGAAAGTGCATCGGTTCGTTGCTAAGTGGATTGCTTCCGTCCGTCGAGGATTCAAATTTCATATCCCTCCCCCTCGCGAGCCGACGCTGCTAAACACTCCTTTTTTGCGTCCTTTTCTCATCGTTGGAAGTATACGTAGGTACAAGCAAAGCGATTTGTGTGTTTTTAGCAGCTTTTTTTTTTTTTTTTTTTTTTTTTTTTTTTTTTTCTTCAAGAAGATTCGTGATGAACTCGAGCATTAACGCGGCGACGCTTAATGGAGGAATTTCTAAGTTTCGAAGCGTAATTATAGCGCGCAAAGCTTTATTAAACCTTCGGAGGAAGTAAAAGCATTTTACTTAGCGGCTTAATAAGTCTTCTTCGTCTTCCCTCATTTTTTCTTTTTTTTTTTTCTTAACGACTTTTAGTTGTTTGCTGATTGCATGGGAATTTCCTCCACTTTCGAAAGTTGATTACACTTTGCTTTTACGTTAACTGGGAATTGTTAATGAATCAATTTTCATTTTGCTCTCTTTTTTTCGTTAGATTTTCAGACTGCGTCTTGCTTCAGACTTTCTTTTACTTTTGATGGTATTATCCTGTATAATTTTTTTTTTCCTGCAACGAAGTATAATTAAAATAAGTTTCCCTATGCATAATTTACCTAATATATGGAAAAAAAAAGTTATAGTTTATTTATAAAACTGCAGCCGGACCATTAGGAAATTTTAAAATCTTCTTAATGCCTGGTTCGCTCGAAACAAGTGAAATACATCAAAAAATTCCAGAATGTGTGTACCACCTACGATCAATTATTGTAAAAAATAAACATAAAATGATGAAATTCAATTAAATTTATACATCTTCACTAAAATATTTATTACTTCCAAATATCAAACGATTGAAACCAATAAAAGATACGGCAGCCGTCATGTACAGTAGTATAAAGGCGATATAGTCAGACAACCGAATTGTGCGAGCTAAATCAGCTCCTGGTATATTTTTCTGGGGAGAATGTATTATATTGTTTATATATTGTATAATATATTGTTTTCTTAAACAAACAGTTTGAGTGGTAATGCAAATGAATATAAAGAAAGGGCAAAAATGTTTTATCGAAGAAATACTGTTGAATAAATTATTATAACAATAATACCTACATGCCAACAGACCGATTTCAATCAAATTGTTTGTATAAACATTTAAGTAGTTATTACTAATAGATATTAACCAATATTCATCCAAAAGAGATATGTCAACATCAATCTTTGCGTGCAGTAGTAATAAAGCGAAATGGTCAGACCATTAAATCTTAAGCTGTATGAACTAAAAAAACGTGCTGTACTTTTTATACAGTAATTATGATACACAGTTTATTCTTAAATTAGAATTTTGAGAGTCAAACAACAAATTAAAAAATAACTTGGCAATAACGAAACAGTTCAGGAAGACAGACAAATAAATACCTGTGTTGCTGTAAAAAAGTTTGAATAATTTATCAACGAGAAGATCAAAATGTTTGACATTAGATACTAGTATAGTAAAGTTGAAATGTAAAACGATTTAAATACCATTTGCAGTAGTATTATAGCGATACAGTCAGACTACCGGATTCTGAGCTGTGTTAAGTAAACAAGTTGCCGTAATCTTTTGTCAAATATTATATTATTACGTCGTATCTATTAAATGATTAGTATAAAAATAAATAAGTATATGAAAAAAATTCAATTGTAAAAAATTATTTAAGTAAGACAAAGAAATAATATTTGCACCTCAGTGCGAGATACTTAATGAATTGTAAAAAAAAAAAAAAGATAAAAATCATAAATCTTAATAAGATTCAAATACCAACATTGAAATAATTATTACTCTAACGTATTGATCGATTTAAACCCCGCAAAATATACATAAGCTGTCAGTCTTTATCCGCAGTAGTACTGAAACGATATAGTCAGACAACTACATTTTGAGCAGAATCAGCTGAATGAGATGCTATTATTTTTGGCAAAAAGTATAATGCACTGCTTTGATTGAATAATTATTGTTTATAACGTTGAAAAATTAATAAATCAGTTTTAAAATTTAAAGCAACAATGCAATATTTCAGACGAAGTAAGGAAAAATATTTGTATCGCAGTAGCAATCAACGCTGTAATAATTTTTGAAACATAATAAATGAAAAGTTGAAAGGATACTAATATTTAAATAAAAATTACTTTTAAATGAATGATTTAAAACCCAATGAATATCACGCATTACTCGCAGTAGTAATAAGCCAATATGGTCAGACGACAGATTCTGAGATGTGTCGGCTAAATATCATTTTTTTTCAGAAAACATAATACATTTTAATTTGAGAAAATCGATCTAAATAATATTGGTATTGATGGAATGTTCCAAATAGTGCAGAGACAATATATTTGAATTTCAGTACAAATCCCTTTAATAAATTATTTTAAATTTTCAAGCATGATGTTGGATGAAATTTACATATTAACAATAAGAAAAAATAGCTGACTGTAGAATATGGAATTATTTGAAGCCAAAAAAGTACTACAGCTGTTACAGTAGTATTACGGTGATATGGTCAGCCAACCTTTTTTTGAGCTGTGTTATCCAAATTAAGCGTGAGCATCTTTGACTAGGAAGTATATTTGAGTGTGAATGTCTCTCTTGAGCACTAAAAAATAAATTAATGAATATATAAAAAAATTGACAATAAAAAAAACCGTTGAGAAACAAAAAATATTTGTATTGCCAAAAAAAAAAAAAAACTTGAATAA